CAGCGATATGGAAAGTCCGCTGTGCAGCTATTAACAACAAGCCGTGCAAAATATTGCTACGGGCACTCGTCGAGATGAAAATAGCCAGATTCAACCGAACCGATGTTTCGGGATTTTGGGTCGATCGCCTGACCACTAATCACTAGTGATCCGATCACGCTCGTGCAAAAGGCCTGCAGTGCACGCTTACGAACAAAGCATCGTTCGCCAGCACCTATGCCCGTGAACAAGGTTGACTTGTGCCCTTGGATGTATCCTGAACATCACGTGGTCAGCGAGGACCGTGGTAACTGCTGGGCTCCTAGTAGGCTTGACGTTTGGTAGGCCCTGTTTACCATGTTGCAGCGGTTTTGATGGACAAAGCGTATGGCGTCTCGCCTTGGCGGTAGGCACCTTTCGTCAACGATGACCAGTGTTATCGGTGGCGATACATTTTTAGCCTCGCAAATGGACTGACTCCTGTGCCGTCATTAACGCCGAAGTATAATAACGCCTTAGCGTGCTGGCTTGCGTCATATGAAGTCTTAAGTGCTCTCAATGTTATCACTGGAACAGAGAGGCTTGGGTCGACAGGTGGTTGTGAGGGTCGTGGGAAGACGGAAATGTCTGGCACTCACTTCCTGCCGTGTAGGAAAGCCCGCTGACGCCATTCAGTGCATTCAAACCAACTGTTCCCATTGAAGTGTGGCGACGTTTACGATCTTCAGAATGGCATGATTTGATGCATAGCCTAGTCCTAGACCGTTGTTATGGTCGTCGGCCGAGATATATGTCTTTCCGCCCTCGACCACGGCATGCCTGGTTCCAGTAACACGTTTCTGATGGGACCGTTGATCGGTTCGTGCAGGTGTGCTGTTCTGAGTAGCCTGGAGGGAGAGGTTTCTCACTGTAGGATAATTTTGCATCCTTCTTTCAACTGACATCCCTGGAAGCTATCCCTATCCATTCAGTTTGTTCCGGGAACGAATGATCCGAACAGGTTTTTCCGGGAAGCAGTTGTTCCACGATCCCGGGGCACTTGTGTCGGGAGCGCGGTAATGCCAGATAAGTCCGTTGGTAAGCGCACATGAATGTACGTCAGGAAAGGCTATGGCACACCGGCATCTTGCGTGTGCGGTGGTGTTGGCTGCGTCGATCGCTTATTTGATGTGCTTTGGTCGCGGAATAAGGCCACTGGAGCCGTTGGAGAAATATTTCAGCGGGCGTTCGCAGCATTCGTGCTAGCTGTATCATACGCTCCCCACCAAAACGACGCGGGTGTTGCAAGAATGATATGACTGGAGGCTTATCTCGCGCTTTGTGCACCACATGTCCCATTACATTTCCTTCACTTGATTAACTTTAAGCTTGTAAATCATATGAATGATACACGCCGGCCTCAGATCTATTTTCTTGGCGATTCATTGTTGACTGTGTTAACTGATTCGCTGTTGTCTGAATATGCATTGATAGATACTCTTGTTTGTGTGTGCTGTCTTGCATGTAACATTTACTCTTGGCTGTTAAACCGTTCGAATTAGATTTAGTTTCGGTGCCGCCTGAGCGTGATGTCGCGCTCTAGTGCGACAATTTGCCGCTCTGTTTATGAAAAACGTGCCGTTTTTACGTCTCGGGGTAAGCCGCACACCATTTTTATTTTTAGGGCATTTTACCGATTTTAGGATCGATTTTAGGGCATCACCGGGGGCACTGCGACGGGCCCAGGGCCGCGCGAGGGACTTGTTCTTGTTCCCCTCTCCGTCTTCAGCGGCCGGGGCCAGCCTCGCAGCCAGACTGTGAGAGGTCTTCACGAGAGATCATTTTACCCCATCCACCTGCTACCCATGAAGCTGTGCCCATATGCAACTGCTACCCACTCACATTCAATTCCACTCACCAGTTACGCACCCGTTTTCACGGTACCAGCATTTGGAAGTGATTATACAAAAATGGCATGCAAGTCTCTGGCTCTTTTGCGTGGATAGTTGTAAAGAAGTGTGAATAAAGCTGCTCATGACTACTAAAAAACGCAAGCAGGAATGCTGTGCGGTGTGTCGTGAAGCATCTAGCTCACATCTTGTACACGTTTTACCGATATCTGGACCCACACCTCTACTACTTTTCCCGACACCTGTACCTAATCAGCCCGTTGCGCATGCCATATGGGTACAGATTGGCGTAACCTAGCCGCCAAGTCTCCGACACACCGTGCCTTATCTATACCTTCCCTCCCGCCACCGGGCTCCAAGGGTCGTGAGACCATTGACCCCGTGCCGAGGGTGTTAGCACGAGACCGACCATGGAAGAGGACTCGGAGAGCAGTGGATTGTTTGTGATCGCGTACATGTAGATGTAGCTGGAAGCTAGCCATGTGAACTTTCGCAGTCACTCATATCGCAGTGGACCTCATCGGATATCGTTGCGTCACAGGCGACGGCCCGCTTGAGCGTCACTGTTGGATGTCCGAATGGATCCGTTGGAAAATAGCAGGAAAATGGTGTCACGTCTGTCAGACGTTTGAAGAAATTCAAGAAAGGGAAATTGACCGATGCGCTGTTTCGTCCGTGCTGCGTAGTTGCTGTGTCGAAGGGACTTTCGAGGCGGGAGGTTCCACGGCACGGCACGTGTTTTCGTCGCAGTCCGTCATCTCCCCGCTGATGCTTTGTAGCTGTCGCGCGCAGTGCCGCTATTCGAATGAGACAAGAGGCCAGGGCTTTGACGGCTCCATTGAACCTCTTCTCGAGTCTCGAGATACGTGGTCGTGCCCTGACCCACGATTTGGCTGTCGCCGAGTTTCGGATAGCTCGGCGACCTGGGTGTTCTTCAGTTCTGCATTGCGAATCGCGTAGGCTTCCGACTCCGATGTTGATTTAGTCTGCGGGCCTCGGGCCATATCACGCGGCGCCGGTTTTGCTCCGTCATCTTTGTCTCGACTCTGCCCTCTGCTTGCCTCACTCCATGAGACGGGACCGTGTTCAGACCGTGGACGCCTCTCCGGGCCCCCGTCGCGCCGCCCCTGACTCCGCCGCTGCGCCGCAGGAACGGCCGCCGGCCGCCGCGTGCCGCCCCGCCGGCGCCGCTGAACGCGCCCCTGCGCCGCCACGTGTTGAGATAGCCGACATGTGTAGTGCGCGGCGGCACGCCCCGTCCTGCGGCACGCCCAGTCCGTCCGCTGGCGTATGGGACTGGTGGTACGCTCACTGACCGCCACCGTCGTCGCCGCCGCGTCGGAAGCCCGCAGGTGGGTGATTTGCGATGCTGACACCAGGTGCCGCCGCGTTCGTGGGCGCCTATTTTAAGTATTTGTTATTTCGTCATAAGATCGGATGCGTGCTGATGCTCTTGACGAGATATTCAAATTTGAGTGTCCTGTGTAAGGCCATTGAGATACGCGTAAACTATCTCATTGCTACACTCACTTGCCCCAACTTAGTCAAATGTGCCCCTGTTCCTGGACGGTGGATACTCATCTGCTTTTCTGCCACTGGCTTTTCGCTGCGGTTTGCCTTGCGGAAACTGTGCGTTTTGCCAAAGTTATAACACAGTCGTCCCTTTTACAGCTTATTAAAAATGTCGTCGCCTTTCAATGCGCTTCTGCTTCGGAGAGGTTTGGATGCGAATTCTCCGCCGCAGCCAGTCCCAAACGCTCACAGACATACTTCAGCTGAGCAGGCACACTGGCCAGCTGTAAACATACCCCAGCTCTTTTGCCAGCGGGCAGCGACTGACACAACAGACATAACAGTTCTTCTGACAGCGGCCGTGTCATATCGTGTCCGTCTGACCGGGCGGCACCGTTTTTGCCTGCTGTGGAACGCGACAGTTGTGTGGGGGTCAACCACCTCTTCCGTCTCCCCTCCGTCTTCTGTTGCCTTGCCTCCTTCTGTCACAAACGCCGGGCGTCCGACACCAGTGTCATCTTTGGTTTCAGCTCGGCGTGGTTTCCCGTTATGGTTTTAGGGCGAGAGCAGCAAGATTTCGCGTTTCTGAGCGACGTATAGTTGGGGTCGGTGGCTGTGTAGGCATGTTTCTGCATTTCCCGTCTGGAATCAGGGTACTGAAGCAAGGCAACACTTAAATCATAAATGCACTATAGCTGGTTGATTAGATTATTAGTTTTAGTCTGCCGGGACATGCAATCAATCAGTGAGTTTCATATGAATAAAATTAATTTGCATTTCATGTTTCTGCGATGTTCCTTCAGCCTTCACCGCACACTCAACTTAAGCTGTGTTGCCGACATGCGTTATGCTCGGCGGGCGACTCTGCCTCTTGATGTCGTCATACTCCGGTGGTGTCAAGCTGAAAAATTAAATACCATCGCCAGCTATTTTATCTGCCTCTTGATGTGGTCATGCTCCATTGGTGTCAAGCTGAAAAACTAAATACTATCGCCAGCTATTTTATCTGCCTCTTGATGTCGTCATACTCCATTGGTGTCAAGCTGAAAAAACTAAATACTATCGCCAGCTATTTTATCTGCCTCTTGATGTGGTCATACTCCGTTGGTGTCACGCTGAAAAACCAAATGCTATTGCCAGCTACGGGTCCGGGCCAGTAGTTCGGACCCGGTTCGCAACCGTTGGCCGCCGGGTCAGTAGGCCGACGCGCCGGCTCAGCCGGCCGTCGGCGGGGTGAGCCGGCGGGTCCGTCCTATCAGTCCGTCACCGCCCAGTGCACCGTTGTGCCTGCTGCAGGTGACGACACGCGGCGAGGACCGCCGACGGGGAGACTCAGTCACTGGAGCCCCGACGGGCGCATCGCCGCGAGCGACCTCGCCCCCGGCTGCCGCGCGGAGGGCCCGCGAGAGCCGTCCAGCCGCCGGCGACTGCGGAGAAGCACTCGGGGCGGCGGCTCAGTTAGTGGCCGGCAGAGCGGCAGTGTGCGATCGTGCCGAGCCGGCCGAGCCTGCGGAGCGTCTGGCGGGGGAGGTGCTCGCGGAAGTCGCGCGGCCTCTGAGCTGATCGGCCGGAGCTGAGGAGCCGCCGGGGAGCTCAGACCGCGGTCTGCAGTCAGAAGCGATGTCGTCCGGCGGGGGCGACTTCTCCGCGGCCGTGGAAGAGACCCCGGAGGCCTGGGATGGCAACGCTAAGAGCCGACAGGCGTACCCCTCTCAGGCAACTGCCTCAGAGGTCTCAAGTGCCGCCGCGACACGTCGCGAAGCCTCCCCGTCGGAAGTAAATCCGGAGCTGACAGCTAACCTCGCGGGTCTCCTCAGGAAGTCAAGCGAAGACCAAGGTCCGCTCACTGACAGCCCGAGGCCGGTAGAGAGCCCCGACGGCAGGCCGGACTCCAACACTGGCTCAGCGACAGGCGGTCAGTCCGCCGGCGGTGGCGACGTCGGCGGTGCCTCCGAAGGCGACGAGCGCGCCGCCGCGAGCCGCGCCGCGCCGCCCGGCGGCCCGTTCGTCGCCGCCCTGGACGTGGGCACGACGTCGGTGCGCTGCGTGGTGCTGGACCGGCGCATGGAGCGGCGCGGCCTCTGCCGGCGGCCCGTGCGCCTGCTCTACCCGCAGCCGGAGCATGTCGAGATCGACCCGGACCAGCTGTTCGAGGCCGTGTGTGAGGTGATTCGCGGCGCTATCAGCGACGCCGGACTCACCGCCGACCAGGTGGGTGCGGCCGGAGCGGCCTCTGCTGCCCGCGGGGCCACTTCCTCTCTCGTGGGCTGTCTTCTGAGCCCGCCGCGGCGCCGACGCTACCCCCTGTGTCGCCGGCGCAGCCCCCTGTGGCACCGGCGCAGCCACCTGTGTCGCTAGCTGGGTCACCTGTGTTGCCAGCTGGGTCACCTGTATCGCCAGCTGGGACACCCGTGTCGCTAGCTGGGTCACCTGTGTCGCTAGCGCAACCCCCTGTGTTACCAGCTGGGTCACCTGTGTCGCTAGCGCAGCCTCCTGTGTCGCCGGCTGGGCCACCTGTGTTGCCGGCTGGGTCACCTGTGTTGCCCGGTGGGTCGCCTGTGTGTGGCATGTGTGACGTGTCGGGGTCCCTGTATCGCGTATTGAGCTCTTGTAAGGTCTACTAATCCCTCGTGTAATCTGACAATTTGCATGGCCTGTTGAGTCCGCTTTGTCAGCCTTTGAATCCATATTTCGCCTGTTGAGCGCCTGTGTGACCTGCTGAGTTCCTTTGTCGCATGCTGGGTCGCTGTGCTGACTGTCGAGCTCGCTGTGTCGCACACTGAGCCCTCGGTGTCGCTCGCTCGTAAACGTGTTTGCCTCTTATTTGTCGCTCGACCAATTTTGCCGTGTTTCCGCCAGATTGCGACCCTGGGGATCAGCACTCAGCGTGCTTCTTTCACCACCTGGAGTCGGGAAACCGGCAAACACTACCACAACATCGTCTGCTGGAACGACAGAAGGGCCAGCGATCTGGTCCGATCTTGGAACGCGTCAGTAAAAAGTCCCTGAAGCAGCAGGCAGTCAATTTACATCGTTTCGTGGCTAAGAGCCGTCTGTTTATGATTCTGGGAAGCCCATGATGACGTATGATCGAAACGTGAGTGCTCTCCAAGAATGCTGTCGCATTGTAAAGCTGTAGGACCAGAGCTTGCGGCTACGCATGCTGACGGCTTCCATTGCTTCGCTTTCCTGCCACCAACCATGCTATGTGGTATAATCTGAGCCCGGTTCGGTTCGAACGAATCGTCCTGTCCCTCCTGCAGCACCAACCTGACGCCAGACGCCATCGCTGCCCCATCCACCAACGCCCCCCTGACCTGCTGCCGCCGCGCCCGATGCTGCCACCTAGCACGCCACCGCGCTGGCGCCGCGCTAAAACGGCCTCTCCAGTGCTGCTACGCTTCCCCACTGGTTCTTCAACGCGCCAGCACCTCAACACCAGGTGGCGTTGTGTTTCTGGGTTGCTGGCACTCAACGCCACTGAAACCTGATGAGCTTCTTACCGACACCTCGCACCTGACTTTCCGCTACCAGCGTCGTGCCCCAGCGCCCTCCCCTGACCCGGAGTCGTAGCTGACTCATACCAGAGAGTCGGAGCTCGGGATGGAGCTCCGATGCCGCTGGCCCACCGGCCGCCCGCCGAGCCGGTGTTGGTGGAGCCCGAGTCGCCGCCGCGTCTGATTGCCTCCACTGATGCCGCCGCCTCTGATCTCCGCCTCTGACCGCCGCCTCTGACCACCGCCTCTGACCGCCGCCGCTGACCGCCGCCGCTGACCGCCGCCGCTGACCGCCGCCGCTGACCGCCGCCGCTGACCGCCGCCGCTGACCGCCGCCTCTGACCGCCGCCTCTTACCGCCGCCTCTGACCTCCACCTATGACCGCCGCCTCTTACCGCTGTCTCTGACCGCCGCCCCTGACCGCTGCCTCTGACCGCCGCCTCCGACCGCCGCCTCTGATCTCCACCTCTTACCGCCGCCTCTGACCTCCGCCTATGACCGCCGCCTCTTGCCGCTGTCTCTGACCGCCGCCTCTGACCGCCGCCTCTGACCGCAGCCTCCGACCGCAGCTCCTGACCGTCGCTCCTGACCACCGCCTCTGACCGCCGCCTCCGACCGCAGCCCCTGACCGTCGCTCCTGACCGCCGCCTCTGACCGCCGCCTCTGACCGCCGCCTCTGACTGCCGCCTCTGACCACCGCCTCTGGCCGCCGCCCCTGACCGTCGCTCCTGACCGCCGCCTCTGACCACCGCCTCTGACCGCCGCCTCTGGCCGCCGCCTCTGACCGCCGCCTCTGACCGCCGCCTCTGACTGCCGCCTCTGACCACCGCCTCTGGCCGCCGCCGCTGACCGCCGCCTCTGACCGCCTCCTCTGATTGCAGCCTCTGACCGCCGCCTCTGACCGCCGCCTCTGACGCCGCCGCCTCTGACCGCCATCTCTGACCGCCGCCTCTGACCGCCGCCCCTGACCGCCGCCTCTGACCGCCGCCTCTGACCGCCGCCTCTGACCGCCGCCTCTGACCGCCGCCTCTGACCGCAGCCCCTGACCGTCGCCTCTGACCGCCGCCTCTGGCCGCGGTCTCTGACGCCGCCGCCTCTGACCGCCATCTTTGACCGCCGCCTCTGACCGTCGCTTCTGACCTCCGCCTCTGACAGCCGCCTCTGACGCCGCCGCCTCTGACCTCCGCCTCTGACCGTCGCCTCTGACCGCCGCCTCTGACCGCCGCCTCTGACCGCCGCCTCTGACCGCCGCCTCTAACCTCCGCCTGTGACCGCCGCCTCTGACCTCCGCCTCTGACCGCCGCCTCTGACCGCCGCCTCTGACGTGGCGTCTCCGGTTGCAGCTCACTGATGTTCCGGCTGCCGGCACACGCCGCCTGGCTGCTGCACAAGGTGACGGGCAACCCGCGCCTCCAGGCTGTCAGCGTGCTGCGCCTGATGAACCAGCAGGTGGGACGGTGACGTCACTGGGCTGGTCAGCTGACTGCCCCGTCCGCGCCGACGTGGTGCGGCCCGATGGCCTGTCGCGTGAGAGCGGTCTGGGAGGAATGCAGTGGTGCCTGTGGGATTGCCGCCCGGCGAAAGGGAGCCTGGATTCTATGCCACGGTCTACCTGAAGTTGATGTCGTGGAGAGGGTTCTCAGGCATCGACTACTTCGCTGCCGAGCCCAGACAACATTTCTGTTCTTGAAGCTGTGTTTTGATGTGTGGAATTTTTACCTTTGCTATGAAAGTTGCGAATGAATGGCCAATCAGGATGGGTCTCGTCTCTAGATATCGTGTTCGGCACCTAATGGGGTGAAACCCTGAGGGTGTACAGTCTGTTGACCTTTCCTACCTCGTGTAAACATTCCCGCTCGACAAGAAGACCTTCCGGGTCAGGTTAAGATGACGAGCTGTTGCTTGTGAGGCTACTATACACATATGCAGGAATCCACTATAGTTGTCTCGTACCAATGAATTCCACCCTTGGACCGCCCCTCACTCTCCGCCACGTACCGTCCCCCACTCTCTACCACAACCCATCCCTCACTCCGTACCCCGGCCCGCCCCTCACTCTCTTCCACGGACTACCCCTCGCTCTCTACCGTAAACCGCCCCTCACGCTACCGCAGACGGGCCCTCACTCCCTACCGTAGACCGCCACTCCCTCCCTACCACAGACCGCCCCCCACCCTCCCGTCTATTCCCAGGTGACGATGCGCCTGCTTTGGTGCATGCAAAACGTAGCCTCGCTGAAGGCGGACATCGCGCGCGAGAAGGCGCTGTTCGGCACGGTCGAGACGTACCTGCTGTACCGGCTCACCGGCGGAAGACTGCACGTGTCCGACCGCACCAACGCCTCCGTCACCGGCTTCTACGACCCGTACCTCATGTGCTGGTCTGGCTACGCACGCTTCATGTTCGGCGTGGCGCCGCCCAGTATGCTGCCCCGCGTCGTGTCCACCACGCACGACTTCGGCGCTACGCGAGCCGACCTGCTCGGCGCCGCTGTGCCCCTCGGCTGCGTCATCGGCGACCAGGGCGCGTCGCTGTTCGGCGCCAGCTGCGCGCGCCGCGGCGACGTGGCCGTTACGCTCGGCACCGGCTCGTTCATGGACGTGAACACGGGCGCGAGTCCGCACACGTCGGTGCGGGGCCTGTACCCGGCCGTCGCCTGGCAGCGAGGCGACGAGGTGGTCTTCATGGCTGAGGGCTCGGCCGGCGACACGGCCGTTAGCGTGCTCTGGGGACGCCAGGTGGGCTTGTACGACGCCGTGGAGGAGACGGCGGCGCTGGCCGCGTCGGTGCCTGACGCCGGCGGCGTACTGTTCGTGCCGGCCTTCTCCGGCCTCGCGGCGCCCGTCAACGACTTCAAGGCGGCGGCCGGCTTCATTGGCGTGACGGCAGCGACGACGCGCGCGCACCTGACGCGCGCCATCCTGCAGGCGATAGCGTTCCGGCTGCGCCAGCTGTACGACAGCATGCGCGCCGAGGCGGCGTTCCCGCTGCACCACGTGCGCGTGTCGGGCGGCGTGGCCAACAATGACCTGGTGTGTCAGCTGGCGGCGGACGTGCTCGACGTGCGCCTGGAGCGGCCGGCCGACGTGGAGACGTCGGTGCGCGGCGCGGCGGCGCTGGCCGGCCTGGCCGCCGGCGTGTGGCGCGACGAGGCCGAGGTGGACGCGCTCCGGCGCGTGGGCCGCGTGTTCACGCCCGACAAGGCGTCCGGAGACAGGCTGCGCGCCGAGATGGTCGAGTGGGGGCGCGCTGTCCAGCGCTTCGGCCAATGGTACGCCGACGATGTCAAGTGAGCGGCAGACGGCGGGCGGTGGACGGCGCGCGAGGAGCTTCTGCCCCGGTATCGATGTCGTGGACGAGATGATGGGATCAGACATCGGTTGGGAAGTCTGTGTATCCACGGCGATGGCAAGAAGGGCTTTCTTCAGCCGTGACTGAGCGCTGTTGAGTGCTCATTGCGGCACATTCCGGCGATGGTTCGGAGACGCAAAAGTGGCAAAGGATGGGAAGATTATTTGAGATGAGCAACTGACGCGAGGACACAGGAGTTATTTCCGTTGCGTTCTTACGCGAGGCTGCTGGCAAGCCCGCTAATGGTAAGAACGGGGTCTGGTAGAAATGGTAAGCAGAGTGCAAATGAAGCTCATGGAATTACGCCGCCCACGAAGCCCCGTGTTATCTGTTATCAAGGCGTTTCCCGGACGCGTCTGAACAAATCACTGAGGCTCATGTTTCAAGGTATGTACAAGTCCCAACCCGGCCAGTGTTCTACAACGCCTCTCCAACAGTTCCCGTGTGCGCCACGCGTCCGAACCTTTGCGTGTGGCACCCTCGCGTTGCAGCCAGGCAGGCTTCCACTGTTTTTGCTCCCGATAGATGGCGGTACCGCACGGTGATTACCCACGGCTCGGCGGGCTGTGCTTGACTTGATTCTTGCCACGTGGTGATGGGGTAGTGTTAATGCATTGAAAACAATTGGTCTTTAGCATGTGTTCGGCCATGCATGGGAGAATGGGGTGATGTTTTCCTGTCATGACGGGTGCTGGTCCATTGTTTTCCATAGATTATGTCTGAGAAGGGTTAGGGTGAATATTTTTTAGCATGTATGCATATTGATACGGGCTGCGCCATTGCTAATCGCAGAACTGCAGCATATTGATCAAGAAGTGCAAAATTGTTCAAACAAATAGAAGTGCAAACAAATGCGCATCAAAATACGGAACAAACCATGACCCGCATTGCACCATAGTCCGCTAGTTCGTACTCTTGCAGCTGAGATGGCAGCACATAAAGCGTCAAGTTACACTGCAATCTGCACATTTGTGTCAATGCTAGGGGCGTCGCGTGATGAGGAGTGTTTTGCCTTTCCGGATTGGCCACGATTCGATTCGTTACCGGTGGCGTAGTGTGTGATCCAAATGACTGTTGAGCCGACAGTTGTGCTCTTGTATCGAAGATTGTGCTGAAATGAGGGTCTAGCCCAACCTGATATTTTTAGAGCATCGTGCATTGCCTTTATACAGCGTGGTGGCTTCCGCTAGATAAAGGGACAACAAGGAAGTAATCGTTACATGTACTGTGGCAGTACAACTGTAATCCGTCGTCCATGATGATGCCGCAGGGGACGAACTCGGCGTCCCATACTGACCCACATCGGCCTACTCGTCTTCCATGTTGCCCCATATTGATGTGCTCGTCACTATGGGTTCCAATGCGTTGGTTCGTGGCGACCTTACCATTCTCCCTGAACAGCAGAACTGCGCGTTTTATCAGTGTTAATGGTATCGTTCGCATGCATGAATTGTGACTTTGGCAGCCCATGAATCGTAATGCTATTTGCCGCTTGTCAGAAATGGGCCCGGTGCATGGGGTCAGACCAAATGCGTACGCTTTTGCAGTACTTGCTCATGGCTATCCGCCCACTATTGGCATAATATACTCAGCATGAAATCAATGTGGCCTTGTTTTCTCAGTGGAGCGGCTGCTCCCGAGGTCTGACTGGTGCAGGTTGTGTTGAGACTACCCTGCCGTCAACCTGCTGTGTTACTTGCCCAACCAATGGCATCGTGAGCAGAGGGTCCCAAATCTGGGAGTGGGATACCATGGATTTTCAGGGGTGTCATTCAAAGTCCCGTCTGAAACCGCGCATTCTGCTTCTTACGTGGGCCTCGAATTAAGGCCCCATTTCGCATGGATTTGGGGGCCGTTCTGCTTGCTGTTAATGCCGCCCTTCCTTGGACTTACGGTGCCAGCACAGCTGACAGTGGCGGGAAGGATAGGGTAATACTTTGAGGTACTCAGGGCGGGGCGCAAGACCTAAGGTCACCTCTTAACCTCCTTGGGATCGCTGCTGGTTGCCGTTGTCTACCGTCTTGTTTCCAGGTTTTGTTTACATCCTCTGATGAGTCCGTTCGCTGATTACTGCTATTGCGTCATCAGCCGCGATGTTGTGTTTCGGTCGCCCGCGCGATAATATCGCAACTCGCTGGGAACGCAGAAGGCTGCGCGGCAAACTCTGACCGCTCGGACGGGCTCGCAAGAGCTCAGCGGCCGGTCCGTACCGGCGACCGGGGCGAGTCACCACGCCCCTGACAAGGTCACGGGGTCAGCTAATTGGGGCTCAGGGCCGGCCCTGACGTCGGCAGTGCAATCTGCTTAGTTTTTGCAGTTCGCTAACACCCGGTTCTCGGGGAGTCGGCCTCCCACCCCGGCCGGGAAAACACCCGAGGCCCAGCTGTCGTTGAGCAGAGCTTCGCCGGAGGAAAACGAGCCGACCCCGCCACCAGCGCCATCTACGCGCCGGTGGTAATTCTGGCGCGGCCGGGCAGTGTTTTGCGACAGAACAGGATGTTGTTGGCGGCCCGTGCACTGACGCGTCCCGGCTTAAGGTGACCGCGGCTAATCCTGCGCTGACGAGTCGCGTTCTCAATGAAGCCCGCCGGCTGCTGGCGGGGTGGAAGGCCACCAGCAATCACAACACGTAACAGAGATGTGCTTCGTTTGATTTGTTGTCACTCGATTTCAAACGGGACATTTCCTGCGTTGTTTATGGGTCGTTTGGATAGCAAAGCAATCACATGCTCAATGGCTCCAGAAATAATGGCCGAGAAACCGGATCCCTGTGTTTATTCGTGGGTGTTCGAAGCTTTACGGATTATGCTTGGAATCCTGCGTATTCACTGTTCTCACGTTTGTACCTATAGAGAGATAGTGATTCATATCATGCATGACCCGTTTTTGTTTTGCTGACCATTTTGCTGACCGACCGAGGCAGCTTTTATTAGTTAGAAATACTGCGATGGTTTCATGAAGACACCATCATCAGCCACATCTGCATAAGGGTTTTTGAATTTTGCTCGGTCACACATCTTCAGCGGATCGTCTCAGAACGGCAGAGCTGAGATCCCGATTTGTGATGCTCTGGATCGGTCCCGTGCGTTAGGGGAGCATGCTACCTTTTTGTATTTTTCATCTATTGATAGATAAGACGCGTTCGATTTAGTCGGTAATGCCAGATCTCTTGAAACCCATCAACTAGCTCAGAATTTTGGTTTGTAGTAACCGTTCCTGCGGGAGAAAATTCATTGACTTTCCTGCTAATTGCTATGACGGCGATACATTTAATATTTCTGGCTTTTCGAACGTATGTGCTCTGCAATGTTTGCAACACTTTGGTCGTCAAAACGTTTGTCTAATGAGTGCTACAAAAGCTTGAAACTTTCTAATAAGAGAAAAATGTACGCAAACATGGGGCTATCATCCCGGGAATTCAACGAAACGTTATACTGTGGCGTACACAGAGCACACAGGTGATTTCTACCCTATGGCGTTTACCGCGGTGGCTCTTTCCGAAGCGCAGTTTGTTTTTGGGAGACGCAGTATGACATGGTCTACAGTAATGCACTGGTTTCAACTTCATTCAACGCATAGGCGGATCCTGGGGGGAGGGCACGGGGCCATGCTCCCCCCCCCCGAAAACCTCTGAGAGTATGTTTTGCCCCCACAAAACATTCCCAGAACTTCATAAAAGTTTCGTCTACTTACCGTCTGTTTGAACTTAAACTGTTTTGTTTTAACTTCTGTTTAAGATTCAAAAGCATTTCGTTTTTTTTCTGTTTTGAATGGTGTCTCTGCTAGGTACTCGCGAGAGGCACCATGCACTGAACTTCGGATCCCACACCAGCCAGCTGGCGACGAACGGTTGCCCCCCCCCCCCAAAAAAAAAACAACAACTCCAGGCCGGATCCGCCTCTGATTCAATGCGCTTCTCGGTAACTAGCCCTTGCCGCTCACTGTTCCAATCACAAACGTGCCTTTGTGCTGACACTTTTTGTCAGAAGACGTGCCATTTGAAGCCTGCGGGCCCGCTATGTGCGAGTTAAAGCAGCTCAAAAGTGACATCTCCAGTCCGTAACACCTGACAACGACTCTCAGTGGATTCCGCCGTTGTCATGACGACGGCGGTCACAGCACGTGCAGTTGTCACGGATTTGGGATACACTCTAGGGCTGCCCAGAAAAGAAGAAGTGTAGAGTTGTTACAAAGTGTTCACAGCGTAATTTGGACTTGAAAATAATCAAGATTTATATTCTTATCGTATCCTGACTGCGGTACAGTGGTACTTCCCAGTGTTACTACTAGACTTAATGGTCCTGCGGCTTCACCAGAGTATGTTTTTTGCAATATGCCCCAAAGGCGGGGCACTCCCTTCAGCTATGCTAGAAGTCGGGCGCCACTTCAGAATTGGGGAGATTTTTATTTGGGGAGTCGAAAGGAGGGGCAAACTCATTAAACCAATTACATGAGTCGTTATCGGGTTGAGTCGACTCAGTTGATCGCAATCATCGATCAGTCGACAAAAGTAGGGCTGGTAACAAGTAAGACGTAACAAGGCGTATTCTTACTCAGATAGCGTTTATGTGTGCAGCAAATAGGACACGGTTTAGATGCATCGCTGTGCCATTCAAATATGTTCTATGCAGGCATCACATATGATATAATCAAACATAATTAACTCAGTCAATTGAATGGTTCGTCCTCTACTCTTGTTACTGAAGTAGGTTACAGCGGAACTGAATGACATCTTGAACCGAAATCGGGGGCCACTCGGAATTGCGTGGTGCTGCCCGGAATCGGAGTCGGAATCAACCCAATGCACCATAAGTCGGCGTAGGTGCAGATTCCAGCAGGACGACATCAAGCACGACCCTGCCACGGAAGTTAATATCACTCGTTGGGATGCCTTGCCCATATCTATCTCCGACGACGTTATATCGCTCGTCGTGTGGCCGTC